TTATTATTATTATTATTATTATTATTATTATTATTATTATTATTATTATTATTATTATTATTATTATTATTATTATTATTATTATTATTATTATTATTATTAACTTTTCCTGGGACTGTGTCATTTCCCAAGTTCATTTTTTACATACTCCCATATAATATAACTTTTCTGTAGAAATTTAGCATATATATATATAAACAACCACATACAAAGACTATGAATGTGGCTTTTTAAATTTCCCTTTTAGTTTTTAAAAAAATTCTCACAGGCTAGGTGAAGCACTCATTCCTCAGTTTGGAGAAAACAGCCTGCAGAAATTCTGTAAAAACATCCAAGGCAACTAGCTGTCAGTAAAATTTCCATTTAAAAAGAAATGTGAAACAGAAATTTCTGCAAATTGTTCTTTTTGTCCTCATTATATTATGCTGTGTACTGCCCAGTCACTTCCAACTGATGGTAAGTACATGAGCTATTTAAGAAATGGTTTTTCTATTGCCACCCACTCCCTGTAAGTTTCCATGAACCCAAGCGGGAATTTAAAGCCAAGTCTCCTGTTTCCTAAGCAACCACTCACTCCACTTCACAGAATCTAACTGCTTGAAGAAGGCCTTAATACAGGAAAAAAAGAAAATGCATTTTAGCAGCGGACATCGTTTTACTGCATATTGAAACATATTCCTTCTATGCCCTGGGTTATGCTTAAATGTTCTCCAGTGTTTGCACTTTCAGTACTGTGGCATAAGCTTTAAAGGAAGAAGGCTTTATATAAACATAGGAAAGTGGCTTATACTGAGCCAGACATTTGGTCCATTTGTCTCAGTATTGTCAGTGGCCAGCATCTCTCCGTTTGAAGCAGAAGTTTTTCCAGCCTTATCTGGAGATGCTGAATATTGATCTTGAAGCCTTCTTCATGCATAACATTTGCTGCACCACAAAGCTGCAGCCTTTCTTTTTTTAGTACTGTATCGTAAAAAATAGGTAGCAAGCGTAAGGCCATCCTGTGTCTGAGATCCTAGAGAGGCATTGCTAGGTAAGGCAAGCAATATTGCCGTGAGACACCCAGTCTAAATGGGTGATATTAGGCACTATGCCTTCTGGACAGTCGGCAAAACTCCAGGAATGTTTTCTTCCAAGTGGAATCCGAAGCAATAGGGGCTCCTCTCACTCTATGGCAAAAACAAGCTTGTCTCCACTGGACTGGAAGGCTGTGGATCGTCTTTCTTTCTTTGTGTCAGAAGCACCACAGTACAGTTAATAGATATACTGTATCAGATAATTTTAACCCAATTGTGGGCAACATCAGGAGCTTCTGGAACAGCTAATATCAAATCTTCTGTGGTGCATGCTGATGAGCAGAGACTACACTCACCTAGGTTTGATATTACCTGTTCTTCTATGGACCCACAAAGGACAGTGTTGGTGCAAAAAAACCATTTTCTTAGGTTTATCTTGATTCTGCCAATGCTAATCTGTAGCTTATAAGGTCACTCTGTGTGCCTGGGGTGTTGTTCCTCCTGAGGTTTCATGCAGTTTAAAAGATGGGTGGTTTTTCTTTCCACATTATAGTCCTAGCATTATCTGCTGTTCCTTCAAGATTCACATATATTTTTTTAAAATCCCCTTAAAACAGGAAGGGGATGGTAGCTGAAGAGTGGATATGCATTTGATATACATAGATACTTTTGAGTCTTTCAGTACAGTATTAGTTCCCACCTCCCTCCATATGTCACTGGCAGCAATGTCAGATAGGTAATATATTTTAGGAATAGGGATTAGCTTCAAAATACCCAGAAGCTAGTTCTACAGTTTTCACTGAGCACTGCATTTTGCATGGGCTGAATTGTTCCACACCTGACTGGCATATTCACCTGTGAAGCAGCATAAGACCAGGGCTATGGTTCTTAGTGTTTGTGGTTTTGTGCCCCACCTGGTTCCTGGTAGCTTTTGATGAATATTGTTATTTGTAGAGACATTTTGTTTGGTGTTTCAGCAGTGTTTCTTATAAGTCAGTGTACAATCTAAAGTAGCATGTAGGTATTTGGGGGCAAAAAAACTGATCTAGTTGGTCATCCTTCCACAAATGGAACCTCCCTGAAGAACATGAAAACATTTGGGCATCCAGTGGGCAACTACAGCACCTGTCAGCTGATCCTTCCACTCCAAAACCACCAACATGAGGTGACTCATTATATGAACATGACTAGATGAATATGTGACGAAATAACTTTGACAACATCCCACAAGTGGCCATCAATAATTCACTTTTCCCTTTAATTTATATATTGTTCCACGAGTGCAAAGCACTATTCTGGATAGTTGACAGCATAATAAAATGGATTAAATAATCATAAAGAAAACAAATAAAACAAAATGAATTAACTTTGCGATCCAGCCAAGATGGCGTTAACATTTTCATATTAAGAAGGAAGAGCTCAAGGCAAAGAAAATCAAGCAGGGTTGCATTGAAAGGCCTCTTTGAAGAGCAATGTCTTCAGCAGCCTTCTAAAAATGGGGAGGAAGGGAGCCAGACACAGCCCAACTAGAAGCTGGTTCCCAAGAGCTGGTGTAACTACCAAGAAGTCCTAGAGGAGCATTGCTGAGAGGATTTGGTTTCAGAGGTAGGTGATCTTGGGAAAAGGCACTCTGACAAGTAATGAGGTCTCAAGCCATGGAGGGTTTTATATAAGAAAAGGGTCCTTGTTAGAGATTAACATAGAGGGCTTGTCAACACCAAGAGAAAAACTACTGTATCAGCTCTGCCAAACATATGATTGTCATTTTAAATTCAAAAAACACATCAGTAAAGCCCCCAAAAATCTGGCATGAGACTTGCAGCTTAGAGGCCTCGTAGACAGAAGTAGATGATTTCTATTGTTTAAGGCCTGTTGACTTCCTAAAGGAAGCCACAGACTTGAGCTTACAAGAGCTGAGACGGAATGTCAAGGACAGAACATTTTGGAGCTTACTCATTCATAGGGGCATCAGTAAGTCCAAGGCAAGCTGACAGTCTATAACAACAAAACCTGTCATATGACACCTCCTCAGTGAATATGCATGTTTAAGTATCTTCTTTCTTTCTGATAATATATCGTATTTTTCTGTGTATAAGATTCCCCCATATATAAGACGCCCCCTTTTCTAATCCACAAGAAATCTAAGTGGGGCTTAGCAAGTGAAGGGGGAAAGGGATCAAAGCGCTGCAGAATCGCTTTGATCCCTGTTTTCTCCTTAACTTGTTTTTGTTCTCTCCTCAGCTTCCATGTATAAGACGACCCTCAATTTTTAGTCTGAAGATGTAGACAAAAGTATAGTCTTATACAGGGAAAATGCGGTACAGTACTTACATTTTTTTGATAAGCAGCACACTTTGCTTTTCTTTTGAGTCCCACATCATACTTCTTTCTTCCATCCCTGACATATGTACCCTCACAATACTTTACCAGGCTAGCACATAAGAATTCCCTTTAACATTCCTTCCTACTCAGCTCAGCAGCAGAAGCTGGGGTTGCTGTTTTTGGACTACAGCTCCCAGAATCCCTAGTCTCTTGGCTAAAATACTCTGGGGTTTGGAGTTCAGCATAGTAACTATGGTACAAATCCTTTCCTTCCAGTAGGGACAAATGAATTGAGTAAGCCCACACCTCAGAGAACAAAACCTGACAGTTAAGAAAAGGGTCCTTCACCAATTCTACCATCACCAATTCTTTATCTTGACAGGAAGAGACTATCTGCTATATAATTTCCTGACTTTAAGAGTTACAGTGTTGTTAATGAAGCTGGTGACAAAATATATTTCTGCATTGAAAGACAGCTCAGCAAAAAATATGTATGCAGAAATCCATCCTATCAAAAATTGTAATATAAAAAAATATTTCTCCCATGTCTTTTTTGTAGAAATGTTATTTTTTCCACTAGTTTCAACAGAACCATAATTGCCACCTCCCAACAAATTCACTCTAGTTTTGTGTTTGTGCCATTCCAGTGTTATCTAAGAACAGCAAGCCCATTCACACAACCATCCTGAACCCTCATGTGCATGTCATTGGAGAAGATGCAGCTTGCATTGCCTACATCCGCTTGACGCAGTATATTGATGGGCAGGGCCGTCCTCGTACATGTCAGTCAGAAGAGACTCGTGTCTGGCATCGCCGTGATGGAAAATGGCAAAATGTCCACTTCCACTGCTCGGGAGCACCAGTAGCACCACTCCAGTGAAGGTAAGATTAGAGCACAAGATGCCCCCTTGCCAAGTTAGTCAGCATGGCAGATCATTTTGGATTCCTGGTAAAGATGAGACTGGAAGAAGAGAAATGAAACAAGGTGTGTGCGTGTGTGTACATGTGTGTGTACAGCATGGGCACTACTTAAAGGGGCAGTGTATGTCAAAGGACAATCTGAAATGTAAGAATATTCAGTTTTGCCCAGCATTCTGGCACTCTTTGCTTTTATAGAATCATAGAAAAGTGAAGTTGGAAGGGGCCTACAAGGCCATCAAGTCCAACCTCTTGCTTGATGCAGGAATACAATCAAATTTGCTTCTCTTTGGGTTTTCAAAAAATCAGAATTTAATAATCAACCAACCATAACAGTTTTGTTTTTCAGGAATATGCATAGTTAATAAGCTGAAGTGTTTGTTTGGCACTATTTTTATTTTTTTAATTAAAGGGTTAAAAAAATCTTTAGTCAAAATCCAATTGCTAGTTCCAGCTAAAAGAGACCAACTGAATAACTGAGATTGAGATAAGTATTGACTTCTTATTCATATCTTGATTCAGTGGATTTGCTGCTAGTGGTTTTCACAGTTGGATTTATGCCTTTAAAATCTACACCAGGGAAATATGAAGGGGTCTGTGGGAGAGTTGTGTTTTATGCAAAAGCCGCTCAGGGAGGATTCTACACAGAAGAAGCTTCACATTGAACAGCTAGCCAGAGCTGCAGAAGCCAGACCCAAGAAAGTAAAGATGTCTCTCTCTCTCTCTCTCTCTCTCTCTCTCTCTCTGTGTGTGTGTGTGTGTGTGTGTGTGTGTGTGTGAAAAATAGAGCAAGTGCACTCCCAAGTGGGCTCACTGCAGAACTCTCTGTGTCTTAATGCATTTATAAACGAGATCATTTTTTCTGCATTTAATGAAGTCAAGGTTATGCTCGTTCAGTACAAGTTCCCTTGCCCTATTGATGACCAACAGGAGCCGTCCTGAATGAGTCTTCTCCATGTTTCAGGCAATCCGTCTCAGCATCTTTCCCCTCCCCCCCTTGCTTCTGTCTTTCAGAATGAATGCTGGCTGTTCTGGTTTCATCCCAAAGGAGACGGTGATTTGAGCTGAGCCGCTAGCCGGGAGCAGCGGTGACAAGCACGTGCCCGCATGCTCGTGTTCCCCATTCTCTGTCCTCCCTTGTTCCATTTCCAGTGCCTGTGTTTCAATACAATATAATCATAACTAAAAAAGAAAAGAAAAAAAAGAAAAGAAAAAAACAAACAAAAAAAGAAAACAAAAAGAAAAAATTCCAACCAGACTCAATTCTTAAAAAACGAAACAAAAAAAAATCAGCAAACCGAGCCAAACCAGTCCAGCTGTCCGACTCACAGCGTGGCCGCACTGCGCCTTCCGTCCCCACCGACTCCATTTCTTTGTGTCCGGCTGTTCAGGTGACCAGGTGTTGCAATGAAAATGTCTCAACTTCAAACAAACAAAAGGCTACACCTCCCTTTGTTTTATATATATATATATATATATAAATACCTTTGTTTATATATATATATATATATATATGCAGACACACAATCTCGCAAACTTTTACAGTATGTGCATTCTCTGCCAAAGCATGGGCCTTCTCCAGTGGTCGTGTTCGCGCTTGGAAGTCTGTGACCTGTGTTACTCTTTGGTTTCTTTTTGCAGAGGATGCTCTCCCCCAGATCTTGGGTGGATAGTTTCTTTTCTCCTCTTCTAGCTGTAGTTGTGGATTATGATGATGATGATGATGATTCAGTCTATTTTATTGTTCTTTTGGATAGGCGATAACCCCTTCTAGAGGGGGGGGGTGTCTCTTTGCTTTCTGGAACCCTCCTGTACGAACCCACTGCGCTTTTGGCCACTGCCAGGCTGACAGGTTCTTACATGAAGGGTAGCATAGCCTTAGAGATACAAATAGGTCTCGCAGGTGTTTTGAATATCCGGCTTCTCATTGGCGCTCGCATTTTCCAAGCATCCCCAATCCTGACCTCTCCCCTCAAGGGCTACCAGCCGTGGAGTTGTTGTGCCATGGCTTTGCTCCTGCAACATGGGGAGTCCCTGCTTCATGGCTGGGACAGGCCTGGCAGTTGTGTGAGAAGAATGGTTGACACGCTCAAACCTTTTCCTCTTCCTTATCTTGGGAACAGATGCTCTGCAGGGAAGAAGGGAGCAGCAGAATGCCTTGTTTTTAAGGCAGTCTGTCTTCATCTACTCCTTAAAGGCCCGACAAAAAAGTAGTAACTTAACATAAAATAAAAATAGTAATTGGAAAGAAGAAAGTAGGGAAAGAAGTTCTGCCTTTGGGGATCTGCTTTCAGTTTTCCTCAGCTTGGAAAAAGGGAGGGCTGGGAAGCTCTGCTTGTGCTTGTCACTCTCTGTCTCCTTCCTTCTCTAGCCTGTGCATTTTGTTGCAAAGAGAAGGAACCTCTGGGCAACACTCTCTGTGGGAATACACCTGCAAGAAAAAGCCACTTCAGGAGCAGATTCTACAGGCAGCCCCAAACAAGCCAAAAGGGGCAATTCTCCGATTGGACCAAGCTTTAGCGGGAAGGTATTCTAGAGTTTGTTGTTGATTTTTAAATATTGATCAGACCTAGGGCCAGCATGAGCTGCATCAAATGCTGTGGAACAGCGGTCCCTACCAGCTATCACTACCATTAGGTCCCAAAGGAAAGCAAATTATGAATCACTGTCCTCTGTTTATTGTGTCTGCATAGTGGGCAGCAGACATTTGCCCAGAGAGCAGCATAGCTTGAAAAATGACAGGGCATTTGTTAATAAGGAAGCTCTTTCTCTTGCTTCTTCATATTGATTCACAAAGGAGGTAGTGTATACACCCACCCCCCATTGCTCAGCACTTCACACCCCAAACCCTGCTCGTGCCCTTGGTTGGTTTAAGTTACTCCCTTGGTACTCTTTATGACCCATGACCACAAAGCCGGAGTGCAGGAAATACTTTTAGGAGCATTTTCTCTGAAACTGGGAAAATGCTCATGTTCCCCTCCTCTTGCCCCTGCTAAACATATTATAAACCTACTTTTTTGATGAATGCAGGAACATCAGGCAGGCTGCTGTCCACTGTGTTGATTCCTGCCACACTAGGGGGAAATGCTGTAGTATAATCAGCTGTGATTAAGGGGTTTCTAAAGCTCTCCATATACTGTAGGTGGAAATTTGCAGGGACACATAGGACCTTTTAGTTTGCAGTCTGGTGGGTTCTTAAATGAAGGGTTATGGGCTCACCTTTGACTACATATGTCCAGGACTGGAATGTTAAACATCAGAACCAATAAAGAAGGAGGTATTGTGGAGGGTGGCAAGAGCCTTTATTTAAAATTAAGTTTCTGTGGAAGTCCAGAGGAGTTCCCTCACCCGTCCAAAGAGCTTAAAGACAGTAGGCTGGTCATGTGGACTATCATGGCTTCTTGATGTTCTTGCTTGTAATTTGTTAAAAATAATCCTGATTAAATATTTGGCCTGTGCATTCCAATTGTGTATGACTCCAAAGCTCTTGTGAAGAAGGGTGCAATTCCCATGCTGTCTTTTTGGTTGAGCTTGCAAAATAGCTGGGTTATTAAATAATTGCCAAGAGAAACAGAATGCTTCTACATTACAGTATGGCAAGATCACCCAAGAAGGGCTCTTCTGGACATCTCTCACCTAAGCCACTTCCCACTGGTGGCCTTAGATTACCTCTACACGTTGGTTTGTCACTACAGTATTTCTACAGTTGGTAGTTTCCTCAGATAGCTGGGTAATCCATTAGCCATTATATGCTCAGGTGATGCTCAGATGTGTGTGTGTTTGTATGTGTGCTTATTGAAGTCAAGGAATGTGATTCCCCTCTACCACCACAAGGTGGTGATGCTTAGTGACCCAGTGTAGTCGCAACTTTTAATTGAAAGATCTTATCAGAGTGTGATGAGCATTTTCTCATAATAGAAAAACAGAGCTGTGGAGAAGCTATTCAGATGGATATGTCAGCTGTTTAAAGAGCCCTAATCACTAGTTATGCTGCCTCCCTTTTGAGGTTCACAATGAATCAAATGTTTGTAGAACCCTTTAATTAGGTCTCCATATGGGTGGGAAGGAAGGAGCATTAACCATGGATACACAAGGCTCTGCTTTTTGAGGCTTATTTACATAACTGGAGGATTGTAATTATTTTGAATTCTGAGGGATTGGCTTAGGTGACAAAGAGATCTACTGCTAGATGGCCTCAGTTCAAAACCAGGAGCAAAACATTCCTGCTTCTGGAAAGTAGAGAAGGCTTAATAGATTAAATTCCTTAATAATAATAATAATTTATTGTCATTGTAAGTATATACACAGTATACCCATACAACGAAATGTACAGAATGTCCTTGATATGTTTGGACTGAAAATTGAGAAGTGAATTTTCCAACATAGATGACAGTTTCTATTGTCTTCTGTTCAATAAGCAGCATATTCAGTAACTGTTGTCAGCATCAATTACTTCAGGATTTTATCCCAATATGTTTTCATTGTGCTAATTCTGGTTTGCTGTAGCTTGGTATTTTTTTAGCTAAGAAATAAAACTCCCAAGAGAATAAAGAGCAGTAAAGACACGTTGAAAAATTATTACTATGACAGGACACTCTTAGCTCACAACTGCCTTCAGTGTCTACATAGATAACTCTGGGTGGGGCTTAATGCTCTGAATCAGAGCACTGGTCACCATCAAAGTGCGCATTCCAAGGGAGTTGGTACACTTCCCATTCCAGTTATGATTAATTCACTGGACTAGCAGGATCAGCATAAGAGGGCAAAGTAGCAATGGCTGTTATAAATGCCTCCATTCTCAGTATGGTATTTGGTTCTGCTTTGTATTTGTCAGCCACCAGTACTGATCCCAGCAACTGTTGGAAGCACTTTAGGTAATCATTTATTCTTTGTTTCTCTGAAGGAACAAAGGTGACATGGAGAAATTACTGAACTTTGGGTAAATTCAGACCCTTATATCTTGCCATTACTGCTACTACATATAACTTAATGGAAGAAAACATTTCCTCAAAACTTCACTGCACAACACATCTTCTGTTCATATGAAATAAAGGTCAACAGAACATATTAGTTCCATCAAAGGAACTTGCATACAGTATTTCTTGCCACAGATCATTTAGAAGCTAAGTTGTGTATATACTGGGGTAATAGCAAACCTTCATTAATACAACTTGCAGTGTTTAAGACCCATTAGATCTTAGATACTCTACTGTAAACCAATGGTTCCTAAGCTTGGGTCTCCATATGTTCTTGGACTACAGAAATTCTCCTAGAAATTCTGGCTAGCACAGCTAGTGGTGAAATCTTCTGGGAGTTTTAGTCCAAAAACATCTGGGGATCCAAGATTGGGAACTATAACTGTAAACCACTCCGTGGAGGTGTTTTAATGCACCTTAGTGATGCTATGCAAAGATAATCTCTGTGTAGAAAGTAGGCTTTTGTGAACTCTTCTTGAGTGTTGGCAGCTCAGAAGAAACGATTTGGATTAAATACATCTCCTCTAAAACAGTCTTCCATTACCGTTAGCCAATCTGATCCTTAAGATGACCCCAGACCATTCATTGTAGAAGAGATTCCATATCATACAGTCTCTTATCATCAAGGTTCTTATCATGTTTTGCACTGGCTTGCTGAAAGGGAGTGGATTGGGAGTTGGCAGCTCAGAAGGAACAAAATGGACAAAAAGTCTGGCCATTAATTTGAAGAATTTAACTCTACTGAGATGCAACATCAGTAAGATACTGTATGTGGAAATGCTCTCAGGCAGAGAAGCACATTTAGTAGTTTCCTATACCACATCACAGTACTGTACTAATAATAAGAGCCCAAACATCAAGCTTATCTAAACTATCTTCCATCCAATCATTCTTCATAATCCATTGATTCAATCATCAACAAGGTATGTAATTCAAAGCTCTTATTAAAAGACTAGGAAGAATCTATATTTACATATTTTTAAGCAAGCAGTTAGGTATATTTTAAATCCACAGTAATGTCTTATGTGCTTCTCTTGAACCTATAGCTTGCTTATACTGTAGAATGCATAATATTTACCCTGATTTCTCCTTGGATTAGTCTTAGACATTCCCACCCAGCATATGAATACATACATTAAAAGGAAGTCTCCCTGCTTCTGCCTTTATGCTTGTCAGAAGTGTAGAACAGTGATTTAGTTAGGAAAGAATTGTTACTGATAAGGAATTAATACTGCCAACATAACTAAAGCAAAGTATAGCCAAGACAAAAAAAGAACTATAAAAAGACGTAGCTTTAGAGCACAATTGTCAAGACAGATATACACTGGCAATCTCACAACCAAGATGTGTATGCAAGGTTTTGTTGGGTGTGTCCCTGGAAAGGAAGTGGCATGTGGTTCAAGAGGTGTACCCCAATATTTCTGCAACTCTGATGTATGCCCTGGGTGTGCATTTGTGTGCACACTCACTTAAAATCAGTCACAGGGGGGCAAAGTACCCATTTTGAGAAAGCACTTAGGCTGTTTCTCATCAAGAGAGGAAGAGATTTAAAATAGTCATTTTGTCTATTGAACTAATCTTAATTCCATCTGAATTTCTGGGCACTGCAGCTTGTTCTATATTTAGTTAAAACAGACCAGGATAACAAGCCAGTTTGGGCCTGATTTGCTTTAACTAAGCACAATTAAAAGAAACTTGTGGGGAACGTAAAAAGCTCAACACCAGCTTCCTGTTGCACTTGAGCCAAGCTGTTGTTTCACTGTTTAGTAAATTGTGCCATGGAGCATATATCCTTGTTTGTTAGAGGCTACTAAATTTTAGATAGAGGTTTGCCACTTCTAAAACGTAAATAAAGCAGAGTTTCCCAAGATCGGGACTCTAGATAGAACTCTCCGAATCTCTGATCAGTAAAGCCAATGATCCGGGCTTCTTGGAGTTGTGGTTCAAGAACAACTGGCATCCCAAGTTTGGACATGCATACTTGTTGAGATAGAAAAATAAACATGAGTATGATTGCCTTAAAAATTAGAATGTGGCTCAGAGTTGTACTGTAAGTTAGCCAATAAAAAAGAATGAAAATTGATAGGGGTGTCCCAAAGCATCCATATTGGCTACATAAATCATTGCTGATAATTCAATTGCTGACTTCCAGAGAGTGAGTCAGGTGGATCACATGATATGTCAGTGTTGAGATAATGCAATGGATAATTTTGAAAGTAGTTGGGGGAGGAGGGTGTCCCCAAAGAATGTCAAGATAATTTAGAAGTTGCAGCTTCTGTTGCAGTGTATATGAGATAATGTGCCAAAATATGTGAGGAAGAATTCCATGCACATTTCACTTTGCTCCCAATAGAATATTTTAAAAAATCTGCCTAAGCAGCAATCCCCATTCATGCCACTTGAATTCACAGTGGTTCAAGATATTGAAGGTAGATTAATAGCACACATTCTGCATATAGATTAATTCTATATACATCTTAGGTTAAGATCTAAAGCCAGCTGACTTCACTCTGCGCTACAAATGTTAGTTCAGGTCGTATTGAAGCTTTACTAGAGCTCCTAGTCCTTTTGCTTCTTTGGGAGGATGCTGTGTGCTTGATAGGAAACCTATATCTTTCTTTCTTGGAGCTAAGCGTTTGACAGAGGGAGAAATGGCAAATTCTGAGCAAGAACGAGGAAAACATTTTGGGTAGAAATATACATTTCTGTTGGAATCAGCAGGTTAGCTTTGAACTGCTGGAGAAAATACTAGCAGAAACAGGACTTTGGTATGAAGCACACAGTATTCTATAGAAAGCTGTACTTCTGGCATGGCTGTTGCTGTTTAATGGGTATGAGGTAAAGGGTTCTTACGCCATTTCTGCAATGGTCGGTCACGTATCTTATTTTGTCATATTTTAACCTCCCAAGTCTTTCCCTAGAGTGGTATTAGTGCTTAGTAATTACACTGCCGTAGTGGCAATATGACTGGTATACAAAAGTTGAAAGTACATATTTCAGTGCCACCTGTATATTTGTCACCTGTAAATACCTCCTAACATCATCCCCATGAAGTGAGCCATAGTATGTATCATTGTGAATGTCATCTCCAGTATCACCCTTCTTACTGCTCACATCCATAAGCCACTGCAATGTAGTGAAGCAGGGGGATGGGAGATGTGTGCCTCCACTTGCCACTGGATAGCAATTAACATCAGCCCTAAAAGTAAGGCATGATAGGTATTGCAATCCAGCACCATTTAGAGGGCACTTACTGCCCGCCCATCTTGCTGAGCCACTCTCCCTTTGGTAGGAAGAAGCCTGATTCTTCGTTCTGTTGACAGCTCCATTCCATAGGTAATCTGCATCCCAAAAAAGAAAGTAAAGGAGCAGATTTATGGCACACATTGTTTTCTCAATGAGCTTATATGTGAACTAATGAACAGCACTGCCAAAAACCAAACACTCTGATCTAGTGCATGCCTGTTTTCAAACATTTATAAGCAAACAGTGACTTACCTGGGTGACATACAGCATGTGGCATGCAAGAAACACCAGAGAGCTATCCACAGTAAATAAAGCAGAGTTTTGTTTTCCCCAAATCCTCCAAATGGGACTATAAAATGAGGATAATGATATATAAAGGTCCATATTGGCCTCTGAAATCTTGCATATCTTGCCTGTAAGATCCAAACCCTAATGGACAGCTGCACATTTGGCAATGCTAGCTTCAGTTCTGGGAAGGAGCTAACAGCTTCATTTCAACCCAGAAACAAAATGTGCAAAGCTTGCTTGTGTCTTGTGGTCAGACTGTGGTCAGACAGAGTTCATGCAAGCCGTGTGCATCATGAAATGTCTCTACACTTTGATTTTGTTATCCATCTACAGCAGCTTGGCAGCTATGATAAGCTGCTTAAGACAGTCCTGTTATCTCTGAGGGTCAGGCAGCCCAGTACAATCTATATGGAATTAAGGCTCTTCCAGAATGTCTCTGTCGTGATCTTGAACTACTGAGGCAAGATTAGAATGAATGGGTGAGACCAGGGTTGAAATTTACATGAAAGAGACAAACTGCTTGCTGATAAGGAGAAAACCACTTTGGCCTTTTGTAACAAAATCAGTGGATTCTGTCAAGCACAGAGGGGCTGCATGGCATACACTAGCACAGATGTTATCCTATCCCGTCCTGTAAGGCTGTTCTTCAAACCTCATGCATTTCACATAGCTAATGAATGTAGGGGGCAATAGGACCAAGACAGAATGACTGAGTAGGGGGGGGAGAGGGGGGAGGGAGAAGAGGGAGTGGTCATTGGTGGGGGGGGAGGGGTGTCCCACCAGCACTGACGCAGCATTGAAAGCACTTTATTGTAAGAGATTAGATGATCTCTGACTACTGCCCAGTCCCGGGACTGGGCTTTGCACTGCGCCACCATACCCGCTAAAGAAGTGTTCAGAGGAAGGCAAGGGTGCAGGCAGTGTTAAATGATGCTCCTCTTTCTAGATGAGGCTTAGGTGATGATGTTGCCTTGCATCTCTCTCTCCATCCCAACCCAGTTGTGTCCTCTCTGCACAGGGAAGGAGAACAGAATGCATACTGCTGGGGTTTAGGTCAAACATGTATTTTCCTCTTCCAAATACACAACCCAATAAACAGTTAAGCTGCCTCCCCTCCCCTCCCCACACACACACCTGGGCGATAAGTGCTTCCAAGATGGGAACATTCAGCATACAGTATTGAGGATATGTGTTACGACCCAACACATCCTGGCTGATTTGCCTTTTTCTCAGAGCACCTTTATTTCTGCATTTCTTTTCCAGGGAAAGGGGTTGGAAGCAAGGGAGGTGGATATCTGATTAAACACGCAAGGAAAGTGAGAATTCACATATGGGGCATAATATATGCTTGTATGGTTTCTGTGGAAGACAAACTTGAGAAATGTCTCTACATCCATCCATGTATATGAAAAAAAAAATAACAAGCCGCATGTTGAAACAGGTGTTTCATTATCAAACATTAATGTACCGGGGCCTCCTCCCCTTTGTGTTCACCTTGTTTACTATGGAACTAAGTGCGTTGCTGGGGGTATTTTTGGATTGGGGGAGGGGGGTTGTATTTTCTTTTGCATGACCTTTAAATAAAATTTAAATCTATATATATATCTATATCTATGAGAACTAAAAGCAAAGCTGAGCTGTTAGTCTGTTCCATGAATGCTGGTGGATCTTTCCTCTTTCTGACTTAATTCTCCTTTTCTTTTTCTTGCCATTTCACTGTCATTTCTTTCTGAGCCTTGTAAGTGTAAAAATGATTCTGACTTTGTTTTTGTCTTGGGAAAACTGCAAATAAAAAAACACAAAAAAGGAAAAAGTGTTGCTGCAGCTTCTTTTGGCTGTGTTCCTGAACCTCTATATTCCTTTCCTCAGAGGACATTTTGAAGTTCTTTAAAGGAAATGTGGAGAACAATCCTGTATTCTGTGCAGAGCTGGGTATAAGACAATGGAAACATGAAAAGGGCATGTATGTCTAAGAGACAAGTCAGGAGATTTCCTTCCATTCCACCTGCCTAAAGCAACTTCTAGATAGAAATCTAGCTGAACTTCTCCGCAGCTACAGCATCCATCTCTCTGATTAAGAGACTCACTGCTTTGTGGTTGACTTGTTTCATTCAGCCTTGCCATGCCTGTTTTCGTCTCATCTTCTGATATCACTGCCTGATATACTTGGACCACTGAATTATGAGTGTGCCAAATGCACCACCTGACAAAGCTACTGACAGGTTCCAAGGCTGGCTCTTCTCCACTGTTCCTACCGACTAGGTCAGAAGTGCTACAGATCCTCCCTCACCTCAATTTGTTAAGAAAAGACGTCCGTTTTGCAGAATTTGTTGCGGTAGAGAAAAACATCCAGCTGGACAATATGAGAACTATAATACATACCACGAGTCTGACATGACTAAGATGAGACACAGCCATTTTAATATTCAAGTGATAACTTTATACACATAGGTATAATCCAATACATAGGAAAGTTAAGTAACATTAAAATACAATCTTCAGTAAAAGTTTCCACACTATAAAGAAAAGTAAGACCAGATGAGGACACATGAGCCAGGGTGGGGAGACACATCTATATAATTAATTTTCTCTATACCTCTCTGGGCGCATCTCTGAAGTCCATTTTCAATGAAAGACTGACCAGCTGGAAGAACTGTCCACTGCAGAAGGTAGTAAAAGAACTCACTGCAGTTCTCTATCCATCCTCTTCTGTTAAGAGAGCTCATCTGGATCAAAGCAACAGCCCATAAAGGAAGATAACTAACCACAACGAAGATGGACTTTACAAAACATACAACTGCCTTTGGGTACAGAAAATGGGCAGAAGGAAAGAAAAATTAAGGCTGGTGATTCCTGGCACTAAGAAGGTTGCTGCATTGATTTTGCCAATACAGCCTTCTGCACATTGTTGATTCAAGTCTGCAGTTGGCCAAGATGTGCTCTTTGACCCAATTTCTTCCCAGGCAAGGCACAGAGCTAAGTGCAGTGGAACGGACTAAAGTCAACCACTACACTCACCACTGCATAGGTCATTGAAGAGAACAGAAACTCTTTAAAACTCTGAGGTTCTCACTTGCCCCATTTCACTCCTTCAACCCTTGGCCGAGCGTATGTTTATAAACTGCACGTGGTTTGCAGTTTGGTAGTGATCCTTGCTCAGGAGTTTATGAAAACAACTTCTGGTAGGCAACCAGAGAACCAAAAAAGAACTGAAAGGAATGCAAGTCAGGAACTGCACTCCTGCTCAGCTCTGCTTTGGGTATCCTGACATTTGTCCTCTTCTACACAATAACACAGCCCTCATGGAAGATGCTCTGCAAATGGTGTCACTTCAATGGACTATCTGGAATAGGAGAGGGAAGCTGCAGCCCCTCAGATGTTGTGGAACCACAACTCCTTTCTGAACTGTTTCTCTTAGGGATCCCAGTCAGATAAAGACTGACTTTTAGCAATGGGTTCTGTCACCTCTGTGCATTCACATCTATTGCCACTGTGGCTTGGAAAAGGAACTCTGAGGGGGAAATGCTAGCTGTGGAACAGCAAAGCCTACTTCCCAAAAAGAACAGGCCTTAGATTTCTGGCATCCTTGACAGCAAGACCAAAGCATTAACATTTTTGGGATTTACACAAAAACAGCCAGCAAGGGCAAACTCTGGGGGTAGGTGGTGTGTCAATGTACACCCAGCCAACAACATCACAAGACAACACTAACAGACGTATGCCCAATACAGGACAAGTCACACTACACAAGACTCTGGTACAGTTCCTGGTACAAAGCAGTAGGTGATGCTTCTGGGCAACAGCATAATGTAACACTCATGGCTGCTGGTCAACACAATGGGAGATACACCACCAAACAGTAACCATTAACATTATGTTGCCAGTGAAGGGGAGTGGCCAGAGTGCAAAACATGTCTTCCACATCATGACAAAAGCAATAAAAACCACTTAGTAGAAAACTGATCTAGTCCCCAAACCATCTTAGATGTAAGAGATATCCAACACGTGGTGACACACCATGCCCTTTTAAATGTGCCTGGCAAGTGGCAGTACTGAAGGGTGCGAAAATTAGCTGATAAAAGCTGCTTATCTCATTGGCAAAACTAGCTTCAAGATACGACACATTCCCCTGTACCTATAGAGAAATTAGATGTCAAGCCATTTTCACCCCATTCCTATGGAGTTCTTCTGCTAAATTCTGAAGCAGATCCAGTTCTCACACCATCCTTGGTTTTTCCATCAGTATTTCAATCCACATATGGTACCCTGGAGACTCAGAAAAAGATGGAGACTGATGCTTCTGCCTCATCCCTACAGCTAGCATGGGGGACTACAAAAGGACCCCTGTATCCAGAGGGGATGGGTTCCAAGCCCCCTCCACCATGGACAGGAGGGAACTCAAAAGCAAAGGGAGGTGGGCCACAAGGAAGCCATTCAGTCCGCAGGTGTTGCTGTTCCTCTCTCTTCTGACCTGCCATAGTTGACACATCACATTCCCACTTTGACATATCCGGGTTTGAGCAGGAGCAACTGGTGCTTGCTGGTGGTTTATGCTGAGACAAGTGGGCAGAAGGCAGGAGGGAGGTGCTAAGAAGCATCTGAGCCACCAGCAACCTGTCCTGTTTGAGGAAATACTCTGACTCATTTCCATCCCTTGAAACAGCCGCCAGGAGGAGGTGCCATTCCCTGGCCCAAAGAGGCAGATGGGGTGGGGTGGGGGACAACAGAAGAATGAAACCGCAGTAGCTGGAACAGCAAATACAGGGGACCTACTGTATTTTAGCACACAAGGGAACTTGCCATCACCAGATACAGCACTGATACTGGCAAAACAGATCCTGGTACTGGCTCAACCTCCAGAAGGTCATACTGCTTTGTTAGTGTTACATATGCAAACAGCAATAGAGGGCATAAGACGCAGATCTTTCTGCTTGAAAATTTCAGAGAGAGTCCAGGAGCCCCACGAAGTTGAACAAAGCAGCAATCACCCACACTGCTAAAATAAGAGGCCCTTTCATACCAGTGGGAAAGTCAGTACCCATCTTCATCCCCATATAATACAAGCAGCTTAATGTCCAAGATGCCTTCTGTCCAAGAACAGGAAGAAAAGATTGCTATAACTTCATGAACCCCAACCTCATTTTCCATTCCATATACCCTGTTTGGTTGCACTGGTTACCTCTGGAAGCATGGACTGCCACTGTAGATAGTTTGGGGTTGTATCTTCTTACTGTTTCATTCCAGAGTCCCGAATATGAATGAAAGCCCGACAGTCCACAGCATGTAGTGGGTTGAAGCAACGCGTGTCACATGATTTCACAGCACGAGTTCTGTTTCCGGGCCTTTAAAAGAAACACACACACATACAATGAGAGTGTGCTTTATATAAATGGCAGATGTCTCATCTGAAATTACCATTTACCATACTAGAAGATAATCAGCATGCTAAGATCTCCCAGAATCACAAGTTCAGAAAAACGTAACACAACATCAACTCAAAAAGAAAAGGAACATTATGAGCAGTAGGTATCTGTTGCACTGTTCCAAGAAGGAGAAATGTGATCATTTGACAGGAAGATCCCTACAGACCACATCAACCCCTTTTCCAGAGAAGGGGAAAAAACGGTATGAGAAGGGGCTACAGGATAACCTTATCACTGAATCTGAGCAGTACTTGTGCTGAAAACACCTATAGCAGAAGTAACACAAAAAGGACCAGAGTGAGTTCAATTCTAAATGAGATAAAGCAAATTTTAAAAAGAATTTCAGATAAGGCAAAGCAAATCAGTTGTTGTAGGTTTTTTGGGCTGTTTGGCCGTGTTCTGAAGGTTTTTCTTCCCAAGGTTTCATAAGTCTCTGTGGCTGGTGAAAACATTAGGAAGAAAAACCTTCAAAACATGGTTAAACAGCCTGAAAAACCTACAACTATTGGATCCCGGTCGTGAGAATGTAAAGCAAATTATTATTCTTTAAGAACTAAAAATATTTCTGCCATAGGGCTGAGGTGTTAACGGCTCTCTCTCTCTCTAACCTCCTGCTTATAACTCCCTTACATACAGCCCTTCAACTCTTGAGTTTTCTTACTTCTAAATGTTCCCAAAACTGAAAGCCTGTCTCATGTTTCACCTCAAACAAAGAAGAAACTGCTCTAACAGCTCATAAAAGACTCTGCTCCACTTACTAGGAAATGCATGCACAGGAAAGCGATGGCTTTATGAAACCAATACTTATTCACCATCTACTTCAACCCTTTCCCCCCTTGATACAGAACTTTTCAGTTCTGTACGGCAGTGGTCCCCAACCTTGGGCCTCCAGATGTTCTTGGACTTCAACTCCCAGAAATCCTGGCCAGCAGAGGTGCTGGTGAAGGCTTCTGGGAGTCATAGTCCAAGAACATCTGGAGGCCCAAGGTTGGGGACCACTACTGTACAGAGTTCTCAGCCAAACCTGAGCATCACAGCCAACCCTTGGAAAACATCTGTCTCTTTTTTATATAAAAGACATCTAAAGCTAAGATTTTTTTTTCTCTTTGAAACAGAAAGATAAGTTTAATTCTCTAAAGCCATGTCCCCCAAACTAGTAGCTTCTATGTTGTGAACTACAATTCCCAGTTTCCTGACCACTAAAGTTGAAATCTAAAATATTGGAAAGGCATCAAATTGGAAGAAGACTGCTCTTCAAGTGTTAACAAAAAAAAAAAACCTGACTGTCCTGCCCTAGTTTAGGAAAATGTATTCCAGTGATTCAGTCTTACAGATCTGCAAGAACTACACTCAAATGTATTTCACACAAATAATAAATCAGCGTGTTTTAAAAGTATCTTGCTGATTCTATCCTGCCGAAGCTTCAATGAGAGATGGTGCCCAGCGCTTGGTTCAAAGAACACACTATCAGAATTACGTGTTGGCTCAAAAGACTTCTTATTTACACCATCTACAAATATTCTACTAAAAAGAAATATATATCGAAGGGAAAAAGTGGCCTAAGGCCAGATTATACTTACAGTTTTGTAGAAGGCTTTCGACTGAGTTCCAAGAACCTCTGACTTGGAGACTAAGTCATCCAGTTTTTCTCCTCGTTCTAACAGGGACTCCATTGTATTGTGCTAAGTGGGAAAAGACAAAGCTGAATGAGGAAGGCTGAATGTGGCAATTCTTAGGAAGAATCAGCACTATACAAGTTACTGCAGATAGTCAGTATATTGATATGGCCAGGATCACACCACTGTTGAGAGCTTAAAGTCCAGCTCTCTCCTCTCACTTGATTTCAGCCTTCACCGCCATTTACTTTCTGGTTTGGCCAAAGTTTTTGCTGCTTTATAGTTTTGCTTTTTAGGTCAAGGAGGCAAGATCAGGAATTCTACAAACACTGTGGGTCTTGCTCCTTTTCCTTCACAGTACAAGTATTCATCCCTTCCATTCATGTTGATAGCACCACAGAGGCATGCAAAGTCTGAAATTATTTTTTATCCTCTGTAGTACTTGCTCTGTCAGTGTTCACCTCTGTGTCGAGAAAGCCAATAATACATGTGGTCCAGAGGACTCTTTATAACAATTACGTGCCATCAAGTTGATTCCTACTTAAATGTCCCTCCAAGGATTTTCTAGGTTTTAATATATGCAGACATAGGCACGAGATTTTCAGATTTTTTTCACTACAGCTACCACAACGAACCAGGAATTTCCCCAGCCAGAATTCTGGTAGCTGTAACCAAAAAAAATCCCAGACCTCAGAGGAGTTCCAGCACATACACCAGAGCCCCCACATCTTCTTCTCTACAGCTATTGCAAAGGGAGAGAGCGGGTGGAACTCGTTCAACACTATGGGAACTACGAGAGATTGTGGGACCGCTAGGCTCTCCCACAACCCCTTGTAGTTCCCATGGAGCTCTACAATGGCTGCAGAGAACAACATGCTGGGTCTCAGGTTTGCGTGTGTGGTGAAACTGCTCTGAACATTTGGGTTTGTGGGTTACAGCTGCCAGAATCCTGGCTGGGATAATTCCTGATGCATTGTGGTAGCTGTAATGAAAAACATTCTGATAATCCCATGCATAGTGGTTTATCAGTCCTTCTCTCTGGTGATGCTCTGCAGTTATGCAGCTTGCCCTAAGTTGCACAAGTGGCAGGCATAGAACAGCATCAGTTCCAGGTGATCTGGCTGAGCCTTCCCCCCCAGAAAGCACGATGCAGACTCAAACTCCGGACCACCCACTCCTCCAATGCACCAATCTATGCACCACAGTAAACACAGGAATGTACTGAAGCATTTTTGTAAAGACAAAAAAATTTCTCTAGTGATCAAGTAAACGGCATGGCTGCATACAAATATAACGTATAAAAGACAAAACACTAAGATTTTGTCTATTGTTGAGATGTTACTTAGGACAGGATAGACTCCAGTTAGCACAGATATTTTACAGTTTCATTTGCCTGGTCATTTCTAGAAGGTTAAACCTAAAGCCCAAACAACTGAAGTAAAACACTTTTTAAAGGAAAGAAGTGGCCCATGACTGAACTGACCCCACAGCTGTTTAACAATACACGATATAAAGATGGTTTGAGCTTCATAAAAAGCTTACACAAATATTTCCAGAACAGTGGAAAAACTAAGTATGTACTAGGCATTTATATCTGAAACTGTCCTATCCCAAGCTCAGGATACCATTCTCACATCCTTAAAGCTAAACAAACACGAATATGTGAGGTAAAGTCAACTGCCGTCATTATCTGAACTTGGCAAGAACTTTACACAGTTTTGACATCAGCAAAATTCCACAACTCCCCCATTTAACTCTAAGAAAGGCTTCCCCCACACCCTAGGCATAGTTAAGAGTGCAAGAGGAGCACTGCCTTTCTAGCTGCATTCCAGCACAGCTTCCAATCCCTTGGGCAGACCAAGAGGAAGTAGGATTCCTAAATATAATCTCTGTCCATTAACATGACCTGCTTATTGTGATACAGGGCATTCCTGAACTGTGAGGAATGGAGCCATTCTGCAGGATGAGCATAACATAGCATAGCTGGAGCACTGGGCTCATTAGGAGAGATGATCCAGATACTGTTGACAGCATAACTGCTTGCAAGAGGAGTTGACAGCCAAAACAGCAATCATGACCTAGTTCCATCCGCCAACTCTTAGAGAATTACAAGGATCTATTAAAAGCCTAATTTAGAAGCCAGTCACTCCCAAGAACTGAAACAAGCACTGAACTCCATTCAGTTCGGAGAAAAATACATCTATTCATAAAAAAGAGAGGCTTGTTTTTATAGCATTCAGAGCTTTACAAGAAAGGGATTCTACACTGAGATCTAGGAATCCTGCCCTCAAAATGCCTGAGGCTTACAATGCTGAGGGGAACTGGGAACCTTGTTTCCTTGGTTTTTAACAAAGTCCTCCAAAATCCAGCACAGCTTTCATGGCCTATACAGCTGTCTTCTTACCAGAATGACTTTAGTCTCATCCAGTTCTGCTTGCACCTTGGTCATTGCATCTGCTTCACGAGGATTCTAGAGAAGGAATACATTTCTTTACTTCAAGAAGACTACTGCCCAGGCACTCCAGTATGATTTATTCATACACTGTTCGTAATAATCAGGAAGTGAACTATTTTAAGTACCGCAAACATTATATACCCCAAGTCACAATCTTGACATTTTGACAATGACAGCTTTAATAGAAAGTGTATTTCTCCTCTCTGCTGAAATATTATGGATTAGACAATGTAGAACTAGATATGGTCAAGAATATAACTCTGAAGTTACTAACAAAACAGTACCTTAAACCACACAGCATCAGCCATGTAATCAATAAGCTGTACAGTTTTTGCTTCTTTTAGAAAGCAAGACACAGTAGATTTTTATCCCCCCTTTCTTACAAGGAGAAAGCTGTCTTGCTCAAATACTTCACCAACTAGCAATTTCTTCCCTTCCGTTTATACTATACCTGATATTTACTAAGGTATCCATCCAATGCTGTGTAGTTTATTGTTGCTGGGGTTCCAGAAGGCCAGTCTATCCTATTAATCTGCCTGGAGAATTCATCCAGCACCTACAATGCAAAAATAGGAACAAAAATCAAGTTGTCCCTTCATTCTACAGACATCAAGATTTAAGTCAAACAAAGCAATCAGAGGAAATAAAACTGGAGGAATCTTGCCCCAGTACATTTGTCATGAAGCCTAAACACAATGGTGTGCCAATAGAGAACTGATACATTTTCCTACGTTATTTTCCACTCCACAAGAACAAAAGAGGCTTTTGTCATCTCAAGGACAACCTGAACATTTGTGGACTTCAGATACATGAAGTGCTATAAGTGTTTACATAGTCAGTGGGGATAGACCAGTGAACTCAGAAGGAAATAAAAAGCAGAAGCCAATTCCATTATTAACAGTAGCTATTCACAAGAGGAGACATCCTGGCACTGGCGATCTAACTAACAGATCACATAACCAGCTCAATTCAAACCACATGTGACAGTGATGAATCTCTTAATGCAATAAAATTCAGCCGCTTTATCTTACAGTCTTCCTGTGAGTTTCTATTTAAAATTGACAATTTCAGGGGCAGTGAAATGTTGAAATGCCACTTAAATTTCACATAAAAATGACAGGATCCTAAAATTGATGTCCTTTGAGATTTTTGTGGAGAATAGCGTATTTATTTTTTATGATGGTTTATGAGTTTATAGGATGTCAGCGATCTTTAGAGGATTAACCATAAATGGTGGCATACAAAATATCAGGGACAAGGCTGGAACTATGCCTGACCAACAAACTATGTTTGTGATTATAGTTCTGCAGAGGCTGCTACGTCATAAGAATCTGCAAAATTTCTTAAGACGTGGAAATGCATGTACAACATGAAGCTCAAATTAAAACTTGGGTAGAACAGAGATAAACTTCTCAAATGAATGCAAGGGAGGGTGGGAAGATGTGGCCCAATGTTTTTATTTCTCCACTCCTAGTACTCCTTCGATCAACAGGAATTTCTCCCCATAGTAACTGTCTGCATGATGATTTTCCATCACAGTGTTGGGGGAGAGGAATGGCAGTCAGATCATCCTTTAAAGCAGTGGTCCTCAACCTTGGGCCTCCAGATGTTCTTGGACTACAACTCCCAGAAGCCTTCACCACCACCTCTGCTGGCCAGGATTTCTGGGAGTTGAAGTCCAAGAACATCTGGAGGCCCAAGGTTGGGGACCACTGCTTTAAAGGATCTGTTAAAGCATTTAAAGCATTTATTAATCACTTTTCTGCCCACTACAGTAAAATACATTTTTAAACATTGTTAACAAGTTAAAAGGCATTTACAAAAAAAAGTGTCAGAAACCAAAGGTCATATGGAATTGTCTCATGCTGCTATTCCTAATAAGAATCAGGAGAAATTATGGCTGTCAGACATTGGCGTCCAACAGTTAGGTATGTTGGCTGTTAATTTTCATCCCCCCCCCAAAAAAAGCTGCTAATTCTCACCTGTCTAGGAATGGCATTTTCTCCTTTCTTCTAGCTTTAGAATTAGAACATAAAACACAAATCAGTCTGGTGTGGCATTCCAGCTGAGTCAATGCTTCATCTACATCCATAACTAATACTTTGCTTTTGAAATTGCACTAAAATTTCAGTTGTATGCTCTCCTACAGCTCATCTGCAGAAATAGTTATCAGTCCAGCACAAACTGAAGCTTACCTTATCCAACAAAGTAAAACACACTCGAGATGGATACTCATTGTCGGCAATCACCACTCCTGCCAGTCCATCATTCCGCACGTAAACATGGCAAAGGTATTCTAAGGCAGAGAGAAATGGAAAGATTCACATTTGTTTCCATTTAAAATGCCCTTAAGGTTTGTGAGAGAAAAATCACAGGCAGATGCCATGTTCATCTGGGAAAACCCCTATTTCAGCATGCACTCTCAAGAGTGTATACGAGTCTGAACTCACCACCCTACTTTGACTGGATGAATGGAACTAACCACTGGTAGCTTAGGACAGCTGCTGAACACAAGGGAAAAGAATGATGTCTATGTAGCACTGTATATGGTCAATGTATGGCATTTCAAACGTTACTGGATGTTACATCTCTCATCAGCTGCAGCTTGACTGTTATCAGCTGAGCAAAGAGGAAGCATTCCTTCCCACCTAACTAGATAAAGAAGCCTAGGACAAGCTCTGGATTCTTTGGATCTGTTGAGAGGAAAATATCAAAGACTCTGCCTTCAGCAAAAAGCAGACTAAATTAATTATAGAGCAAAGTTCCATAGCTGGTTTAGCCATCTGCAGGTGAAACTACTAATATCATTTTTGGCAAAATGGTACTGGATTTCTATTTTAGCAATTAAGATTTGTTTTGGCTACTGCATTATGACATAGAGTCTGAGATTCAAGCTGTCATTTGGCAAATGAAAATGTGATTTATAAAGGGGCTGGCCAGTGAAATCAAAAAGCCAGACAAATACCTGCAGGATATATCAGCATGCTGCTTGTTCGTAAGCCCACATTCCCACAGAACACTAGCTTGCTGCATCACGCAAATGCATCTATATCACTACCACACTTTCTTCAAGGTCATTACACTTTCTTTAAAACTAGAATAGCCTAATATTTGGTCTGTCTTGAGAAGCATATGTAGGGTTGAACGTCCCAAAATGTAAATCATGAAAGTCTTTGATTTAGAAAAAGCAAATTCAAGGGGAACCAGTAGAAAGAATTTTTGGAATACAGAACATGTCAGTAATGGTCTGGACAAGGATGAATAAACTGAAACTTAATCCAGACAGAACAGGGGTGCTCCTAATCAGTCCAAAGGAAGATCAAGGAATAAAGATTCAGCCTGTGCTGGATGGGATTACACACCCTCTGAAAACACGCAGTAGGTGCAAAGCTTGGGTGCACCCCTGGATTGGTCTCCGAGTCTGGATGCCCAAGTTTTACCAGTGGCCAAAAGTACATTTGCACATTAGGACCTAGTGTGCCAGCTGTGGCCATTGCCAGAGAGGTCTGCTCTGACCAGAGTTACACATGCCTTACTTTTATTCTTGATGCATTACTGTAACGTGCTCTATATGGGGCTATCTTTGGAAAGTGCTCAGAAACTTCAGGGGGTCCAAAACGGTGCAGCCAGATTGTTAACTGGGTTACAGCAATCACATAACCCCCCATTACAGCAGAGTCACTGGCTGCCGATCCATTTCGAGGCACAATTCAAAATGCTGGTGTTAACCTATAAAGCTCTAAATACTTGGGTCCAAGCTATCTCAAAAACTGTATCTCCCTTCATAAGTCAGCCCCGGTGTTAAAGACCTCATCAGGGGAGGCCCTTCTGTCAGTCCCACCACCCTCACAGGTGCACTTCATGGGGACATGGGAGAGGGCCTTCTCTGTTGCTGTTCTCAGACTCTGGATCTCCCTCCCACAGGAGGCCAGGTTCACCCCATCTTTATTGTCTTTTCACAAGCAGGCAGACCTTTCTCTTAGTGAATGACTGCATAAGACAATAGACAATCTATATTTTGTTGCTCTTAAACCTGTTTTTCATAATGCTTTTACCTAACAGTTTTAATATATTATTAATTCTTCTTTAATATTTGAAGAATTGTTTTTAGCTTTTAATATTGTATAACGATGTAGGGTGCTCTGGGTCCTTTTTGGGAGAAAGGTGGGGTAAAAATATTTCAAATAAATAGATAAGACAAACTAGAAACACTGTAGCAATCGGATGGGTAATATACTGTAGTACTGTACTACAGTACTTTCTGCAATTGCTCAGTTTTCCAATATGAAAGGCTAAAGAATCATTCAGAAGCAAAGGTGTATCCCAGGGTGAACTCTCAGTTACTGCTATAAAATTTGCCTCACAATCCAGATGAAATAATTACACTAACTCAAAGTAACATCAATGTGGGTATATTATTTTACAACAAAAGCATTTTGAAGTTACACTGCTCTATAACTCAGATGGCCATCTTTGTATAGGCTGATTTTCTTAAATATTAGATGTGTGGTTAAAACATATTTTAAAGTTGAACTAACATGCTCTGAAGAAAAATAATTTAATCCAGAGAAAACATTTACTTCTTCAGCAGCAGATACAGTATGTTCTTTCTGTCAGTAAAACAGCACAAAATGTGTGCAAATATACATTCATATATAACTGTACTCTCACCTTGTTCCTTTACAGAGGCTCTGCTGCCAGGCTCTGAACGCTCAACTATCAGCTGGCTAGTGAAGGTCATGAATTCTTGAACACTAAAAACAAAAACAACAACAACCCACAGTTAATTACCAAAGCTCCCTACATTCACCAAACAGACTGGAGAGCCACTGGAATAGATAAGAAAATCAAATTTCACTACAAAACATTTTCCAAAATCACTTTGCAAATTTACCTACTTAAAAGTGCAATACAAACAATGACTAGATAGGCAGGGTATAAATACAATAAATAAAAATAAATAAATAAACAGGAGACTATTTTCAAAAGCAAGTTCCAAAGCCAGAACCACTTGAAAAAGGCAAATGCCATCAACATGAGTGAACATTTATTCAACTCCAGTGTCTCCTTGTCAATTACACTGGAGCAGTTTCCACTGAATAACTTTGTACGTAACTGTCACCTAAGTTGTGTTGGAACAATGTTTCCAAAGAAACAGAAAGGGCAAATGAATTCTCAATTGCTATGACAATTCGCTTTTCATTCTGTAGGTTAATATAAATCTTTCAAATATAGCTTTGTGATAAGAGGAACTTAGTATTCTGGGACCAAATTCAAAGTATCACAAGATAAACAATGTAATAATTATCATGGTATAATTAATACTGATAAAGTCAATTACTACCTGCAGTAAGAAAGCTATATTAAAGAATTCTCTAAAGAAAAATAATTCATTACAGTTCACATCTTAAAGTTTGTACAACCATTTCAAGGGGCACACCATAGTACATTATGAAGACATTGACAGGGAGACAGAAAGCTACCTCAGTAATCATCCTAATGCAATAGGAACATACCTGGATCTCTGGAAAAAGCTAAATGATGACACATCATATGCAGCTTTCAGTAAATGCACTTTGGGGTCTCCTTTGTAAAGGACACTTAAACTGTAGAGCTTCATCCTTTCACCTACTTAACCTTCCCCAATTCTTGATAACCTGAGCAAAAGATACAAGAAAAATGAATGTGTACCTGAAATGGGATAGTTAAAAAATTAAGACAGATAAAATACACTATCATGAGAATAACTATGAATGTGTTTCTAACAAGAATCTATAGGTCAACTACATGAACACTTTGCACAAGCCCACGAGGGCTTAAAACAGACACTGCTATCTTATCCACACTTATTTGAAAGCAAATTCTATAGCATTCAATGGGGGGTGTTATCATACATAGAGAAATAGCAAGGCAACACTTAACAAAACATCCTCGCCAATAATTCTATATTGCCCTAGAATTTAAGAGAGGCATCAAATGTAACAGACACACTTCTCTTTAAATGAAATAAATGATACCCGATCATGTTAGTCACAGGTAATGCATTATTTCTTCCATGAAAATGTGGGTTAAAAATTTTTCATGGACTAGACTTTAGTCCATCAGATGCCTGAACTTTATCCTCACCTGGCCAGACAGTTCATGCCGTAACCACCAGCAATGGGGCAAAAAATGTACATGAGGTACAGTTTGTGCTATTTCTATGCAAAACTGAAATGTACTTAAAATATGCCTCAATAACCACAACCACTATTACCATGCATACATTTTAAACCTGTACATAAATCTGCTGTAGTCCTTTTTTGACTCTTATTTTCAAACCACTAAAACTCTTTAATTTCCTTTTTTCATAAGTACTTCATTTTTTTTCTCATGTCTTTCTCTCTCTCTCTCTCCATGCATATGTCTACCAGGTGTCCAAATACTAAAAGTATCCTATCACCCTGGTATGCCTTTGTTTGAATCCTTACATCTTTAAAAATGGAATGGGTGGTGGTGACCCAAAAATAGGGTCTTGTCAATTGTTTCGTATTTCTATAATTAAATCAACCTCAGGGAGGCTCATCTTAGATTACATTACGTACAGAAAATAAAATAAAAGTCAGGACCCTATTAGTGATTTGCAACAGTAAAAACGCAAGGGTACAAACCACAGCAACGAACTACCTCTACCTAACAAGTCACTGCTTTCACTGGGGGGGGGGGGGTCTAGTCGATGCTGCAATTTACTAAATAACCTTTTAATGACACACAAAAAAAATCTGCCATGATAGGTTGTACGTCAACCAGGTCTTCCTGTCAGCCGCTTTTGAGGAGAAGGGCTCCGTCGGCCGCTTCCGCTTTGCTGGCGGTCACCGGGCCGGCCGCTCTCGTCTCGGGCGTAGATGTGGGTGCGAGTCCCGCCGCTGGTTGTGTCTGACTCACGCCGTGCAGGCAAGAAGGCGTGCGTTGCCTCCCTCCCTCCCTCCCTCTCTCGCCCGCGCTCCTCGGAGCCCCGACGGGATGAGGAGGAATCACGGAAAGAGCAAACCCTCCTCCCCGTCGGTCACCGCGGCCTCTTCCCACGGCGCAGCCCCGGGTCCCGTCTGGGGAAAGGCGCCCACAACGACACCCAGGGCGGCAGAAGGGGCCCCTCCCCCGCGCGGCCTTCCCTTCCCGCCTCCGACTGAGACAAGCCGCGGGCCGGCGCTGCGCACTCACCCGAGACCGCCCTCCCCCCCTTGCACGAAGACGGGCGGCCCGCACTGACTCCGAGCCGCGTTCTTCCCGACGTCTCCGCGGTTCCCTTAAGACAGCAAACGAGGCGGAAGCCGGCGCGCCCTTTCAACCGGATATAGAGTCCGGATCCGGAAGTGCTCCCGGCCGGACGACGGTTTAACAGTCCTAGAGCTAGTAAAACTATAGAGTATGCATGCAATTCAATACTTCCGACCTTGGTTGGATCACTGCGAAGCCTTGCTTGGATCGTTTCAGTGATCTAATAAAAGCAGTAGCCGTGCTAGAATTTACTCTCTATTCCTTATAGTTACTATCCATAATTATATTACTGTACTGCTATTATTGTTGATACTGCTATTGTCATACTTACTACTACTATCAATAGTTATGTGCCTTAAGTCGGAACCGACTTATAGAGACCCTAATAAGGTTTCAGGGGTTTGTGTTTTACTCCATATGTTTTAAGAAGTAGACAAAAGCTCATATTAAAATATAACAGTTAATATTTGAGGTTCCACAGAGCTTTTGTCTTTTTTTTATTTTAATTTCTTTCCTTTGGGTTTTATATTTAGAAACAGCACATGTAAGATGTTTAAGAAGTGCTTTCACCACTTCCAGACCACCAGTGAGTTTCCATGGCCAAGTGGGGACTCATAGTCAGTCCATCGCTCCATCTACCACACCACACTGGGTACATTGATTTACTAATTGTACCCCATTTTTCTCCTTAAAAAGGACCCAAGGCAGCTTTTGTTATTGTTTAGTTGTTAAGTCGTGTCCAACTCTTCGTGGACCAGAGTACACCAGGCCCTCCTGTCTTCCACTGCCTCCCGGAGTTGGGTCAAATTCATATTGGCTGCTTCAATGACACTGTCCAACCGTCTCGTCCTCTGTCGTCCCCTTCTACTCTTGCCTTCACACTTTCCCAACATCAGGGTCTTTTCCAGGGAGTCTTCTCTTCTCATGAGCTGGCCAAAGTATTGGAACCTCAGCTTCAGGATCTGCCCTTCCATTGAGCACTTGGGATTGATTTCCTTCAAAATGGATAGGTTTGTTCTCTTTGCAGTCCAGGGGACTCTTAAGAGTCTCCTCCAGCAACACAATTCAAAAGGATCAAGTCTTCGGCATTCAGCCTTCTTTATGGTCCAGCTCTCACTTCCATACATCGCTACTGGAAAAACCATAGCTTTGACTATGCAGACCTTTGTCAGCAAGGTGATGTCTCTGCTTTTTAAGATGCTGTCTAGGTTTGTCGTCGCTTTCCTCCCAAGAAGCAGGCATCTTTTAATTTCGTGCCTGCTGTCTCCATCTGCAGTGATCATGGAGCCGAAGAAAGTAAAATCTGTCACTACCTCCATATCTTCCCCTTCTGTTTGCCAGGAGGTGATGGGACAAGTGGCCATGATCTTAGTTTTTTTGATGTTGAGCTTCAGATCATTTTTTGCGCTCTCTTCTTTCACCCTCATTAAGAGATTCTTTTTAAAGTCCTCCTCACTTTCTGCATTCAGAGTGGTATCATCTGTATATCAGAGGTTGTTTTTTCTTCCAGCAATCTTAATTCCATCTTGGGATTCATCCAGTCCAGCCTTTTGCATGATGTATTCTGCATATAAGTTAAATAAGCCGGGAGACAACATACAGCCTTGTTGTACTCCTTTCCCAATTTTGGACCAATGAGTTGTTCCATATCTAGTTCTAACTGTTGCTTCCTATCCCATATATAGATTTCTCAGGAGACAGATAAGGTGGTCAGGCACTCCCATTTCTTTAAGAACTTGCCATAGTTTGTTGTGGTCCACACAGTCAAAGGCTTTTGCGTAATCAATTAATTAGAAGTAGGAGGCAGAGCTTTGTTGCAGTGCTTCCAGCAGCTTCCAGCAACAGCTCCCAGGAAAAGCTGGAACCGCCTGGTCTGGGGTCCCTCTAGAAATGGGGGATCAAAGAGGAGACCAGGAGAGGTCTCCCTGAAGCAGTTGGTCAGCACCAGAAGGAAGAAGATTGGGCAGCAACCTGGTATTTCTTCCCTCTGAAAATTCACCCGAGCACAGATCGGATGCGGGAGCTATGTTGGCAGAGAGCTGTGAGTAACTCCACCCCCACCTCCCAAGGAGAGGAGAACAAGAAATACAGTACAGCGTTGAAAATATATAATAACAAAGTAAGCTGAAGCCTTTGATTTATGAACAACCCCATTAAGCTGAAAAAGAAATTAGATTGAAAATACTTGGCCAAAAGAAGGAGCGGCGAGTTTTGCTTACCAGCCTGCTTCTTCAAAAATGAAACTGATTCTTAAACAGCAAGCTGGTTCAAGGCTGAAAGTGAGACAGTGAGACAGAAACTTTTGTTTCTGGAAAAAATCCTACAGTGAAATATCACTGAATAGGCTTTAAGAGACTAAAATTTTGTGAATGCTGTTTAGCCTAGACCTTTACCCCTAGACCAGGGATGGCGAACCTATGGCACGCGTGCCACAGCTGGCACAGAGAGCCCTCTCTGTGGGCACACGAGCCATAAGTTGCCATAGAGAAATACTTATCCGTCCTCCGATCCCGGATTTCAGCACTCCCCTCTGCTGGTGCAGTGTCCAGCGGAGGGGTGGAATGGCGACCGTTACCGGTCTAGCCCAATGGCAGATTGGAGGACCAGTATTTATTTGTTAATACCGCCTATAGCAAAAAACACAAACATTTAATCCTTGCAGTGAAGGAGCAGTTGTTTTTTCTAAACTAAAACCTCAGCATTCGAGTTTTAATTGCAGTGTTGCCACACTGAAATAAATAAGTTGATTTTGTGTTGCAGTTTGGGCACTCGGGCTCAAAAAGATTCACCATTACTGCACTAGGTGCTCAGAGGCAGCCACTGCCCTCAAGCAGCAATTTTGCAGTACCAGTATATTTTTGCCATCTATCCATGGCATGGATCCTCATTAATTTTAACGTATGCTCATCTCCAACTCATTGCCCATCTCCGTTTCCTCGGCTGTGGCACTTTCATGAGAGGTTGGGCTGTAAGTTTCTTTGAAGTGGCAAATTTTCTCCCCACTTGTACTTTGCAAGGAGCTGTCCATGGAGTGCTCATGGTGTGGATGATGAAGATGAGGCTTGCCAGATCTCAGAGAATGAGCTGCTGTGGCAGGAAATGGCTGGGCTCCCCTGACTCTCCAGGCCAGGCAAACAAATGTGAGGAGCAGAGGTGGAAGGGAAGGAGCGAGTCTCGTTTATTGCTACGGGGTGGCCATAGTGTTTGGGTACCCAACTCTAACCCTCTCCGAATGGCACCAGGGCTCACTGGCTTCCTGTGTCTGTCCAACAATGGCCTGGTTCAGCTCCAGCAGGACGCCTGCCTTCTGCTCCCTCGCATCCCCCGGGGAAAGAGGAAGCTTCGGGCCCTGCAAGAGAAAGAGAGAGAGAAATAACTAAGGGGCGAGCTCGTCCACAGCCGTCAACTGGCTTCAACCCAGACGTATCCACCGACCAATGTTCTGGGAACTTCATCCCAAAGTTCCACCTGCCAACATCCACTGGCTTCCACCATGAATATCCATCCTTCCTCTCTTCCACTCCGCTTCTGAAGCCAGCCTCCATCAGCTCCCGAATGCTTGGGTCACACTCACACCCCGGCGACATCCCCCTGAAACACCAGCCAGCCCATTCATACACACATTCATACACACCGCGGCACAAACCAGCTGCCCCCCCAACACACACACACCTTCACTCCACCAGCCAAGCTTCCCCAAGCTGGTTTCAGGAGGCTAACCTCCACCACCGGCTTCATCCGCCAACGTCTGCCAGCCTCCACCTTGGAGCCTCAGCCAGCTTCTGCAGGCAGATTCCACCAGCTTCTGTCTGCCAACATCCGACTTCCCCCCGGTCCATCGCCAACATCAGCCAGCTTCAAGCCATGGATCTCCACCAGCCTCGAGCTGTTAACCCGAAGCCCATGTAGAAAGTTCCTCTGCTTTCGGAAGAGAACTTGCCTTGGGCAGAAGGGCTGGGTCCCCTCCAGCCACTGCCGCTCCCTCTGCTGGGCTGCCCTCTGGCCACTGGCCTCCCTTCTGGCCTCCTGCCCTGCCCAACAAGCCCCTTTTATCTGCCAGCAGAGAGGTGGGGCCTCTGTGAGGTCACAAAGACCCAGGAGAAAAGGGGTTGGGTTCCCAAGGCAGCAGCAGCAGCACCCTCGGGATTGGCTGAGTCCTGAAGATGATGTCAACAGTCCCTCTGATCATGTGATCCACCCACAAAAGCTTGCATTTTGAATGATTTTTTAAAATATATATTTTTAATTAGTGGCCTATAAATGTATCGCCTGTCACCAACAGGACAATAAGGCAAGCTGATGGGGGGAATGGATTAATTCGAAATGCAATGTTGGAGGAGAGTTTTATGGACACCATGGACTGCTAGAAAGTAAAGAGAGTTCTTAAATCAGATCTCAACTCTAACTGGATTCTGAAATTACTTAACTGAAGCTACTGTAGTTTGAATGTATCACGAGAAGGCAAAGCTCACTGTAAAAAATAATAATGCAAGCAAATGTGGAAGGCAGGAAGAAAGGAACATGAAATGGATTGAGTCAATAAAGGAAGTCACAGCCTTTATGACAGGACATTTTGGAGGTCATTAATTCACAGAGTTACCAGAAGCAATTTGATGAAACATAACAACAGCCCTCTCAAATAGAGAGATGTTTTCCCTAAAAATTGTGGCCACTGTCCACCCTCCTAGAAAGAGCATTAGGACTACAGCTTCACAGTGCAGTCCTCTGAAAAGTTACTGAACAGTAAGCCAAGAAAGATCAGTGAGGTTTCCTCCCATATAAATAGGTACAAGATTACAGAGGCCTACATGAACAAGACTTTGATGTTATCCGTAAGATGTAGGTTTTAAACTTTTTTTTGCTAGCTGCTGATAATTTTTGCTGCTTTATCTGATTTACTGACTTTTGTTACTGCTTGAAAATATTTTCACAATTTTCTGTTTCATAATGTTGCTTCATTGGCTATTGAAAGTTGCTTTTGAAGGGCATTTCATCCTGAAAAGTGTAGAGATTTGTAACATAAAAGAAATTGTATTGAAATCAGTGGAACAATGGGGCACTTCTGACAGTGTCTTTTAATCACTGGATGTTAGTTCTTGGGTTTTGTTTTGTTTTATTTTTATCCGAGCAAATAAATAAGATTCCCCCCCATCCTTTCTCTGCAATATAATATTCATTCCTCCACTTTGAGCTCCCCTCACATGGAAATCCACCCACACCCATTTCTAAGGTGGCCTTGCTATTGACTCCTGCACGTGCACCATAGACCAGCTGTGACCGACAGGTCAGGAACCACTCCTGTCGATCACAATGGAACCCTGATTCAGGAGCCAATGGCTGTACAGAAAAGGTGGGACTAGGGATATATAAGAGAATGGATGACAGTTAAAGAGCAGTTAGAGAAATGAGTGAGTTAACAGTTAGAATCTGAGTTTGAAGCAGTTAGGGAAGAAGTAGGGATGAGTTAGGGACTGGTGTTAGAGAAAAGCAGTTTAGGCAGTTAGGACCAGCCTGGTGTTAGTGAAGAGTAATAAAGAGATAAGGAATGAGAAAAGAAATGAACAAATACCTTGATTAAAATGATTCTATCTAAACAAATATAAATGTTATCAAAGCACAGTTGATTAAATGAATAAAAACTTTACATGATTTACTTGTGAACATTTGCTAAGGTGCATTTAAAGTATAAAGATTGGACTGGTAAATTTAAAATAGCTGTTTCACACGAGATCCATACGTCTTGTTTAATTGGGTTAGATTTAATTAATTATATCAAGACTCTTATGATCACCACACACTCACAGACAGAAAAGATAGAAAATCTTTATGGTAATAGTGAGGTTCCTTAGGAAGTTATAAATGTCAGCCAATCACCTGAACTTGCAGGAAATGTAGATATAATAAAGCCTCAGAAAAAGAGTTTTAAACTAGAACAAGAACATGATATTTCTTTACAACAACCTTGTAATGCAGTACAAGAAGTACCAGTAATTTCAGAATCCCCTAAAAGATACTTTATAGATAGAAATTTCCACCAACAAATAGATATCCCTTTTAAGTGTAGAGAGATGTCAGGAGTTGGAAAAGAGGTTTGGAATAAGATAAGACATGTTAAAGGGGTTTTCATATATATATATATAGGCTCACAAGATAGTCAGAACACACCCACTACAGTAACTAGAGAACATGGGAGAGAAAAAAAATTGCTAGAAAGTCAGAGAAATAAATGGGTAGAAGAAAGCTGCAAAGGTATGAGAGAGCCCAATGAAAGGAGTTTTAACCAGGAGATAAAAGAGAATAATAACTTAGAGGGTTGGTTAAAAGAGTTTCAAGATATCACTCTATTATACTCTGAAAGTCCTGAGAAAATCTATACAGATAAAGCTCTTGTAACTAAAGAAAATTCCTTAGTGATGACTCCTGGAAAAGAGGAAAACTTACATGAGGATCAGGAAACATGCTACCCTGAGATGATGAAACTGAAAACTTTAGAGGGAAGTAAATTGAAGTCAGCAGAAGTAGTATCTAAGGAAAAGATACAGCTAACTGAAAAGGCTGATAATTCTGTGTCTGCACCCATAGCTAAAACCAAGCAACAAGAAACCCTATCTAAGAAATGTAGGAATAAAGAAATAGAACTAGATAAAGTTAAAGGTGCATCTAAAATTAATCAAGTAGATAAAAGAAAAATGCAAGGATTACTAAGTAAATTTACGCTAGTCATAGAAAAAATAAAAGAGGATAGAGTGAAAGCTATGATAAGGATAGCAGGCTATACCAGGCAATGGGAAACAAAGGCCAAATATATATAGCCTCTCCTTTAAAGATTATAAAAGCTAAAAGAAAATACAAGAAGATCCAGTGGTTGAGCAGATGTAAAGAGACCCTGGAAAAGCTGCAGACTACATTAAAGAAAAGTCAGTGTGGTATCCAGAGAGGTCATGTCAAGAGACATCTTCATGTCGTGAGAGGTCCAGAGTTCCAGAGTGTCTTCAACATCATCGCTGTAGCAGGATTCGAACCAGGAGCCGTGCGGAGCAAGGCGGACAACAAGAAAGACCGAGCAGGTGAGAGACATTTAATTGGCAACTGAGTGAGTTAACAGAGTCTGAGTTTGAAGCAGTTAGGGAAGAAGTAGGGATGAGTTAGGGACTGGTGTTAGAGAAAAGCAGTTTAGGCAGTTAGGCCCAGCCTGGTGTTAGTGAAGAGTAATAGAGAAATAAGGAATGAGAAAAGAAATGAACAAATACCTTGATTAAAATGATTCTATCTAAGCAAATATAAATGTTATCAAAGCACAGTTGATTAAATGAATAAAATAAGACCATCCATGATTTACTTTACATGATTTACTTGTGAACATTTTTAATAAACATTGTTTAATTGAATCACACTGATTGAAGAGTCATATTTGATGTAGTGAGGAGTGACTCCTCTGGTGGCAGCGGAAAGGGTTGAAAACCAAATGTCAGTCCCAAAAGCGAACCTGGGTTGTGTGGAGAAACAAACAGGGGAACAGGGGAAATGGGTTCATGACACCAGCATATAAGACATGAGCCTGAGGCTTCTCTGGGCCTTAGCAATGCTTCTAACATAGAGGAAAGACAGCGACCCCCCCCCCCCCAGAAAACAGTTGATGGCACCTTGGGGGATGTGACCCCCAAATTGGGAAACCATGGGCTGGAACAAATCCCTATGTGACCAGGCAATGGTACCAAAAATTGTGGGGTGGTTCTGGACCAGAATATCTACTTTTTAAAAGTAAATTGCTCACATTACCCATTAATTCATTGCCATTGCAGTGTTCTGAAAATAACTTTCTGCATTACTTCTGTTGCTTAGCTTTGTATTACTTTGCAAGGTGAGAGATTAGAGCGGAGGAGAAAATGAGATAAAACCTGATCAGATAAAACCTGTCAAAATACACCTAATATGTCATTTAAAAGTTGCTTGTTAAAAGTTAATAGTAAAAGTCACTTTTTACATCAATACAATGACTTTGTTCCCACTTCTTATGCTAATTTTGAATTGCATGTATTTTTCCGTGTATAAAATGACACTTTCCCCTAAAATCATTAAAGGAAAAATTGAGGGTTGTTTTGTACACAGAAGGAGGCAGAGGCAAAGGAGCAGCCGAGCTCGGCCACCTCTCGCAGCTGCCCATTGACTGCCGCTGCCACCGCCAGATCATCTCCTCCAGCGCCACTCATGGGCTCCCTTCGGGCAGGGGACAAGGTGGCAACATGAGCTAGATGTGAGCCCTGGCAGTTGCACTGGAGGAGGCAATTGGGCAGGCAGCGGAGACAGCAGCAGCAAGAGAATGAGGCGGAGGAGCAGTTAAGGGGCACCTCGTGGATGCCCTTTGGCTGCTCCTCTGCCTCCATCAAGGGTCAAAATTAGGGGGTCATTTTATACATTGCGGGGTTGTAAACATGGAAAAAATATGATATTTCCTTGTGTCCTGCTTATGAGACAGGAGTAACTTCTTGCGGGGAACTAAGGGTGCTGTCAGACAGACATTTAGCCCACTGTTTGATGAATTGGTGGGTTTGCTCCTTTTTCTTGTGATCACATGACATAATCACTGGATTAAATCCAACCATTCCTAAAACATTCCTACCCACACCTCTCCTATCCTCTGTCATTGGCTTCTACTTTTTTTTGGTGCATATAGGATCGCTCTGGATTAGTCCATTTCCAGCATATGTGATCACCGGGAATGGACCAAAAAGTGAGCTTTCAAGGATCCTTCTAGCTGGGGCCTTGAAGATTCACTTTTGGTGAAGTGGATATGAAGTGAAGTGAGCCACTTCAGGATGTCAGCAAATTGAACACTTTGTTCCACAGTGGAGGAGCAAAGGAAGTAAAAAAAAATTTTTTTTTTACTGCAAAAGAACTGATGTACTCCACCAGTTATTTTGAAAAAGTTCTTTGCCTTGCCTTAAAGAGCTGGTGTGCACTCTCTGCCAGACCTGTTGCTAGCAGAGCCGGAGATCCCTGCTAATAATACAGGGGACTCCAGCTCAACTCCTTGACGCATACTAGTTTTTATTAGATTAAAGCAGCAGTTCCCTTTGGCTCCCCACCCCCCAATCTCATACAGTCAAATTACAGTCTCTAAACTACTTGCCAACTTGGGGGCCCACTTAGTTTCACTGGAATTTCTCCCCAAGCCCAGGTTCTGGAAGGCAGGAAGGAGGAGACAGTTTAGGTCCAGAATATAACCCTTTGAGAGAAAGTTTGTATAAATGAGCACAAGTACACAGTCTAAGCAGCTTGTCTCTCTTGGTCCCTTCCCTCTCCAGAGCTATGGTAGCAGCCAGAGTAATATAGCCTTAGAATCATAGAATCATGATTCTAACTAAGGCTATGGAAGGGGCCTATGAGGCCATTGAGTCCAACTCCCTGTTCAGTGCAGAAATACAGCTCAAAGGATATCTACCAATTTCTCCTGAATGCCTTCATAGAAATCATAGAAAAGTGAAGTTGGGAGGGGCCTACAAGGCCATGAAGTCCAATCCCCTGATCAACACAGGAATGTAATCACAGCATATCTGCCAGGTGATTATCTAAGTTTTTCTTGAATGCCTCCAGTGTTGGAGCACTCACCAACTCCTGAGGTAACTGGTTCCATTGTCATACTGCTCTAACAGTTAGGAAGTTTTTCTTGATATTCAGCCGAAATCTGGTTGCACGTAACCTGAGCCCATTGTTGTGTTTCCTGCACTCTGGGATGAAAGGGAACAAATCCTGCCCTTCCTCTGTATGACAGCCTTTCAAGCATTTGAAAAGTGTTATCATATCACTCCTCTGTCTTCTTTTCTCAAGGCTAAACATGCCCAATTCTTTCAGTCTTTCCTCATAGGAATTGGTTTCCAGCCTCTTGATCATCCTTGTTGCCCTCTTCTGAACTTGTTCCAATTTGTTGGCATTCTTCTTGAAGTGCGGTGTCCTGAACTGGACACAATACTCAAAATGAGGCCTAACCTATACTGAATAGAGGGGAACTAGTACCTCATAGGATTTGGAGACTATGCTTCTGTTAATGCAGCCTAAAATAGTTGTTGGCTCACACATTTGGCACATGTTCAGCTTGTGATCTACAATGACTCCAAGATCCTTCTTGCTTGTAGTATTGCAGAGCCAGATATTCCCCCATCTTGCAATTGTGCATTTGGTTTCTTTTTCCTAGTTGCAGTACTTTGCACTTACAGTGGTGCCTCGCATTGCGACGTTAATTCATTCCAGCGAAATCGCTGCTGAACGAAAACGTCGCAATGCGAAAATAGAAAGCCCATAGAAACGCATTAAAACGCGATTAATGCGTCCCTATGGGCTTTAAACTCACCGTTCAGCAAAGATCCTCCATAGTGCCACCATTTTCAGTGCCTCTAAAGCCAGGAATCCATCCCAGAAAACAGTGGGCGGCCACGTTTTTCCCCCCGATGGTCATTTTGAAACCACCGGTCAGCTGTGTGAAAAGGGTTGCTTTGTGATGATCGCAGGGAACTGATCATCGCAAAGCAAAAAAAAAAAACCCATAGGGAACATCACAAAGTGATTGCTTTTGCGATCGCAAAAACAGTGTTGCTAAGCGATTTTGTTGCTAAACGGAGCAATCGCTAAGCGAGGCACCACTGTATAATTGTTGAATTTCATTCTCTTGTTTTCACTCAGTTGCTCAAGCCTGTCCAGATCATTCTGAGTTTTCTTTCTGTCTTCTAGGATATTAGCTATTCTACCTAATTTTGTGTCATCTGCATATTTGATTAGCATTCCCTGTATCCCCTGATCCAGGTCATTAATAAAAAAATGGAATAACACTGGGGCCAGGATTGAGCCTTGGGATACCCCACTTGTTCACCCCCTCCCAGTTTGAGAAGGAGCCATTATTCATCATTCTCTGAGTACAACTCTGTAGCCAACTGTGTATTCACTTGACAGGCGTTCTATCCAGCCCACACATAGTTAACTTTCTAATCAGAATATCACGGGGCACTTTAACAACATCTTTGCTAAAGTCAAGATATACAATGTCTACAGCATTACAGTACCTCTATCTATCGGTGAGGTTACCGATCAAAAAATGTGATAAGATTAGTCTGGCAGGATTTGTTCTTGACTTATTACTGCTTTGTTTTCTAGGTGTTTGCATAGTGACTGTTTTATTATCTGTTTCAGAATTTTCCCTCGGATTGATGTCAGGCTGACTGGCCTGTAGTTCCCAGGTTCCTCTTTTTTGCCCTTTTTGCAGATAAGGACAACATTGGCCCTCCTCCAATCCTCTGGCACCTCTCCTGTTTTCCATGATTTCAAGAAAATAATGGATAGCGGTTCTGAGAGTTGTTCAGCCAGTTCCTTCAGTACTCTCGGTTCCAGTTCATCCGGCCCTGGAGATTTGAACGCTTCGGGGCCAGATTAATTGCTTCCAAGAGTATCGAAGGATGCAAATCTGAGAGGCAATAGGCCCTACTCATCAAACTACATCAAAGAGCTCTTGCTGTTGGGCAAAGAGCTTGGCTAATGCTGACGAGATTAAAATGAGCACTTTTTGCCCAGGCAAGCACTCCCAGGGTTTCCCCTTGGCATCATAAAATGCTTTGGGGCCACCTGGGTCCTCCCTACAGCCTCCTTGGCCAAGCTGGGGGCTGTTCTCAAATGGTCCTGCATGTCCAATACTTCTTGGACCAGGGACCAGGAATTGTTGGGCCCCTCCTCCCACCGTTCTTTAAACAGGTCCAACAGCTTGTGGGGCTGTTGGCTGTACAACATCTTAAAGGGAGAGAAAGCTGAGAAGGCCTGTGGAATTTCCTGAATAGCAAGCCCAACTGGCACCAGGAGGAGGTGCCACTGCTGAGGCCCCACTTGCACCAGCTTATGGAGCATGCCCTTCAAGGTCCAATTGAATCTTTCTACCAATTCATTAGTCTGGGTGTGGTAAACTGATGTTTTCAGAGGCTGCATTCCAAGGAGAGCCCACCTCTGTTCAATTGATGAGCTCATGTTGTTCTTGCCCTGGTCTGTCACAACCTCATGAGAGAAAACAGGGTTACCAACTCCCAAGTCA